GATTGAAATTTCGGCCTAGCCTCGATCATCATTACTGAAGTCTGTACCATAAAAAACAGAGTCTTGATGATCCATTTCATGATTAAATTATGAATGGAAGTCGAGGAGCAAATGGGATCATAATCCAGTAAATATCGCAGACTAATGCTGTCATCAAGAGTTGATTATGGTTTGGATAAGATTATTAATGTCTAATTGATAATTTAGATAACATTTAGGCCTAAAGAAAGACCTGCAATTGGCAGATTTAGCTCTTGCATAATGTATGTTTAATTAAATGTTGAATGATCAATTTGAGTTTAGTTTAGTGTAGGTTAAGCCATGAAAACTTAGTTATTCTCAAAAAAACTCACATAAGTGCGAGCAGTTGCTGCAATAGAAATGCTGACCACGGTTTATGGTGGTCTAAACCTACGTGTATATTATCATCCCAAAAAATGTCCTACTGTCTGTTCCAAGAGATACTCTGACTCTCAAATTCCTTGCCATTTCTTCAGATTTTAATTTAAACGGCCAAAAATTGGTGACATACCTGAAATTGTCATCCCGCTGTTCGCTTCATTGAGCCCTAACGCCTAAAAGTTCGATAAGATCCACTCTCCTCTGGGAAATTTCACATATTTTGACATTGTTTCTTTCTCAAAACATCAACATTACGAGTGTGTCTGCATAATGGGAGACTTGCATTTCGCGTATAGGGTAGACAGGTATCTCCTAATCGGGTACATTCGGTTAGATATATATAGTGAAGGAAAATTTGCCCGTTTCTTTTGCGGCAGTAATAATACTTTGGTTTCAGACTGTGGATCATGTTTTTTGGTCGGATTAATATTATGTTTTGTTTTAACCCGCTTATTTTGCAGAAACTGTGCATTAAGCCACTCGGTTTTTGGGAGTAAGGTCTAGAGATATGACATTTTTATAAACACTTTATTAATTTTCCAATGTACATAGGTTCTGATCAGCTGTATATAAATATTCAAAATATATTTGTCCAGATTATTTCCCTTTGGCCTTGCAGTTTTTAGCCTATAAACTAAATAATAATTATCCGATTGACACAGAATCAACGGCATGCTAAACATGTTGGCACTATCTATAATAATAATTAATACAAAATATTATCTTATTGCAAATTAGCTGATATACATGTATATCTGGATAGTCCTTGTAAATATGCAGAGCAAGGCGGGTATCGATTTTCGTACTCCGTTTTCCCGCAAATGTTATTTAACTTTTTTATTTTATAATATTTGCATTCTAAACATTTATCTACACGTAGGGTTGATATATAACATCAACCAAATATCCATGAATCATTTTGAATTTTTGCTATTTCTGAGAAATAGGCAGTTTTGTGGGAGTCACTTTTCAAAAGAATAAAATATTGTTCTATTTTAGTGACATTTGCTCGATTTGATACTGCAACTGTTCATTATTGTAACATTCTTGTCATTAGAAATGGCATCATTTTGGCAAAATTGGTACTTTTAGCCCTTATTAAACAAACTTTAATTTCAAATATACCTGTTTGTTCATAATTAAATTTTAAAACTTTAATTCCACATATCGAAAAGCACAAACCACTGCGAACATATGAATATATCAAAAGATAGTTTGTAACTTTATGCAATTGTCCAAAGTACCCTTTTACGTTGTTTATCCAAACACATCTACAGTGATTTTGAAAAAAATAACAACATATTTTCAACCCTTAAAGCAAACATGTTTTTTTTCTAAAGAGCGTTATTCAGTGCCATTTAATAATGATGTTTACTAATTTCGTTTAAGTAATATTGTGTAGATATACGACCAAGCATTGGTCATTTTGTAAGGGTTCCACACGTTAACATGCTATCATAAATGCCAATTTCGCCTAAATAGTTAACACGTGTAACATGCTCATGGGAATATGTTAAGTGACATGCGTTAAAGGATTACGAGCACCGGTGAAACCTGTCATGACTGCATCTCGGTTAAAGTTTTCCATAATTTTCTGAGCTCTTTCTAAACCCCCTTTTTGCAACATAAATACCGTTATTTTAATATAGCTTACAGTTCACTGCTGGATCTTAGATATTCATAGTATTGTTATTTGACAACAGTTCAGATTTATTTGAGATATTCAGCTAGAAAAGACAAAAAAGCGAATCTTCGAAAATATAACCCCTTCAATAATTGATTATTGTTATCTACAGTTTATTATTTGAAGATGAAAATTACGCGAGATGTCAAGGAATGAACCAAACTATTATGTAGTTATTTCGAGAAACAGAATTATTTACTCCCCGCAGTGTTTCATTTGAATAGATCTAATCCCACTTAACACTGCTGTAACGGAAGCAAATATCTGTTCCAAATTATGACTGGCCAATAGTCTGATTAACAACCAACAGCTAACTGCGTAACAATTTCATTAAGCTTTAAACAGAGCTTCAAATTGGACCAAATAATTTTACATAATGTTACGTCATGACTCAAGAAATATACGCCCAATTAACCAGTACATAGCCAAAATTGCAGAAAAACTTATTGCGTGACAAACGAGGCTGTCAAAACGGATACAATATAAACAATACTGTTTGGGAACGAATAATACTTTCACCGTTTTTAATACCTTAAATCACTGTCCAAAGTTTCAGGGAAGACCCCAGATTAAACGAAGCGCTGTGATGTTGCTGTACTTGGGATAGATTTGATTGAACAGGAAGAATAGACACACTCCAGCAAAAGTTAAAGTATCAGAAGTCAATCCAGCAATGGCCAGAAAGGGATTTCTCGAGACATTAGCTTCAGGAATATGTGTTCTGCGTTGCATAACCTTGATTGAAGATATGAAATGAATTGATGTTTAATGGCACGTCAGCATCAACCGGGCGCAATCTGGTTAACAATAAAACTCAGATCCTTTTTCGTTTCGTTTTTATAGTTCAAAGAAACGAAACGAATTATAGATCTGTATTTTAATCAGATTGAACCGGGCGATAATACGCCAGACATAATTATTATATAAAAATCATTTTACTTTTGTTGTAGCCTTCGTGAGAAATTAGGTTACATATACATTTAGTCTAATCATTGCTCCAGTCTAAATTCAACTTTAAATTGTCTAAAGGCAAAGTCGTAAGCAAGGGAATAACTTATATTATCCGCGATTACTTTTGCATATTATGGACCAAGTTATTGTGTACGCCTATAGCCCCCTTCAAAATTTCTATCACATGCAGTTCAGGATAAAATTTGTACGCAGTTTATATGAATATCAAAACGCTACAGCCCTCGGGGCCAATTAAATATTCAACTCAGTTGGACAAACTGCGATGGTCTTGGATTCCGTAAAAATAAAAGTTATATACTACTGGGCCAAAACAACTTCCTTGACGTCAAAGTAGACCGAAACGACTCGAGCCAAACCAACGCCCACTCCCTCTTCGATTCTTCCGGATAACTAGGTCAAACATGGCTGATGTTCAACAGCGGGATGTAAACAAACTATGATTTTTTATGAGAGAGAGGTTATATAGCTTGATCTGAATTTGGTTTCCTCGTGTAAGCAAGTAATGGGATGGCAATTCCAGGTATGTCACTAAGTTTTAGTCGTCTAAATTAAAAATTGAAGAAATGGCAAGCAATTTTCGTGTCGTAGTGTCACCTGGAACAGACAGTAGTCTGAAATCATGCCCAAATGGTTCAAATTGGCCAAAATCCACAATTGGGTTAAAATGCTAGAACTAACAATCAGGATCACTGACTTTCAATTTTAGAATTATGTCAATTTGTCAATTTTTTAATATCTTTTTTTTTTTGAGCATTTTTTTTTTTTTTAATTAAATTGAATCCTAGCTGAGAGGAGATTATCTTGCCAAATGCCAAATAATCAATTTATGTACATGTATACATTCTAGCATGGATTAAAGATACATTATGTAAGATTTAGATAAAGAGCTAGCCATTCTTGCTATAATAGTTCGAAAATAGATGATGTGAAATGAATAATTTGAAAATTTCATTCAAATTACTCTATAGTATTGCAAGCAAAGATCTATAGCCTTTGAAGGTTTAACAGACGTGTGCAATAATTTCAACCACCGTACTGGTTGATCGAAGCTAAGTTAATTAATGTCTAATTAATACTTTAGTAAACATTTCTGGCCTAAAGAAAGACCTGCAATAGGCAATTTTAACTCTTGCATAAATTATTGTTCACGAAATGCAAAAAAGTAAATGGGGATTAACATTGTACTGTTCTGTTACTACTGGGCTTATGAAGACGGACATACACCATACAGTGTCCTATGAGGAAAATTTTGCCAAGACAGTGGCAATACGGCCTACTCTTTTTTTCAAATTCCAACTTTCATTGGTTCTGTTACATGCACGCAAATGTGTACACGGGACCCCGGTTTTTCGTCTCATTCAATATACGTTGTCCCCATAGGCGTACGGGGAAATTTTTTACTGGGGGGGGGCGGTGGTGGTTGGTGCCCCAAAAATGTAGTTAGGTTCTTAGTATGTTACATAATAATCATAATATCTCTTTTGCGATGAATAAGTTCTTAATTTCTAAATCATCAATAAAAGAGAACTCTATTTTATTTACTTGTAATATACACAACTAAAAACAGTTGTTTATGTAACTGTAATTTGTGGCTTACTGTAGGCCTACTCCAAACAATATAGGGTTCGAGTCTTAAGATTTCTATTTAATTGCCTAACTATAGACACTCTGAATTTAAATTCGCTGTTAAATTGGACGCATTCAAGAACACAATATTTTTTTATACAACTTTTACAAAGTACAATTGTGTGCCCAAATTTTCCCAGCATTTGGTGCCCCAAATTGGGGGGCGGCCGCCCCCCCAGCTCGTACGCCAATGGTTGTCCCTTGTTAGACCCTCTGTCCTACATCACTGAGGAACCATGCCAATTCACGAAATGCAAGGTCACGATCAGGTGACTTCAGATTCTACAATTAATCCAACTTTTATTTTCTGCTTCAGGTCAACGATTATCCTGAATTTCTCAGTGGAAGTGAACGAGAAAATACCCAACACCTGGCGATCACACATTTAACTTCCGAAGCTAAGAGGCGATCTTTTCGACGTTCTAAAAAATCACAACGGAATGGTTCATTAACAGAACTTAATATTGACAGATCGGAAGTCTCGACACCGGTCAGTTGCACATCCTCTTTAGACGGTTCAGAGGATTATGGGTATGTTACGAATAGTTCTACGAGTCGACCCAATAGTCGAAGTTCCGTCGCGTCTTCGAGAGATACGAGAAATGGCCATACAAAGAAAAAGAAAAAACCGATGAGTTTGAATGATAGTTTGGAACATGATAGTATTTTACAATCGTTAAAGGAAGAAATCGAGGACCAGGTGGAGGAGATTGAGGAGGATCGTTTATCGACCATTCAAACAGAAAGTCGAATTTTAAATAATATCGACAGAGACAGCGTGTGTACATCTCAAACGTCAGTAAGACAATTACCTCCGAATCCAAGAAAAGGTGCTTTTGAAACTTCTGAACCCCCTGCTAAAAATGGCTCCTTTGAGAATGAGGATGATGATATTCAAACTGGTTGTTGTTTAGTGAAATTGTGGAAAAAATTCCGTAAAAATCGAATTAATCCAGGAGTTAAGACAGATAACTCTTATAGACCTAAAAGTAATTTATCAAAAAGTGAAAGTGTCACAGAAATTCGTAAGCCTCCGGATATTGCTATCGTAAGACAAGCAACTCTGATACAGCCATCTTCCCCAGCTCCCTCCTTTCATCTTCTCCCACACGGAATTCGTAGATCGTCCGATGTTTCGACAGGTCGGGGGTCAAGGTTAAGCACACCTGGTGAACGACATAGGAGGTAAGATTGAATTGGTTAACAGAGGATTGGGTGATCAGATCTGTCATCAGTGCAAGTGTCATGGGTTGGGTGATCAGATGTGTCATCAGCGCAAGTGTCATAAGTTGGGTGACCAGATCTGTCATCAGTGCAAATGTCAGGGGTTGGGTGATCAGATCTGTCATCAGTGCAAGTGTCGGGGGTTGTGTGATTGAATGATAGATGTGTGTGCTGTAGATCACTGATCCTGTCATCAGTGTGAAGGTTGACTGACGTGGTTTCCCTTGTCAGTGGTGCAGAACGAAGGATAGCTGTCTAGTCCTTCGGATGATATGGAAAACAGGCCCTGTGTATACATCGGCATGCACATACATGTAAAAAATCCCTTGGCAGATGGAATTCGATATAAGAGTAGGCGATAATGCGCTGCCCTGGCAAAATTTCACTCGTTTTCATTAGCCCAGTCAGAGCAAAAAAGTAGGCCATTAAATCCCATTTCATTTCATTTAACGGGAGTTGGGTGATGTGTGTGCTGTAGATCTGGGCCCTGTTTCACAAAAATTTAAACTAAAATCACTAAAATAGATTTTAACTAAAATCAGTATGAAATTTTAAGTTTTAAGCGTTTCACGAAGATCGATTGTAACTTAAAATGCAATTTTAATAGATTTTAGTTAAAATAGCTTGCGCCCGTGCAGTGCACTATTCCGGCGAGGGCACTTAGGGTGTAAGCATAAACGCTTCGGAACTGAAAACTGTTGCCAGGTTGAACTAACCGTTACAATACCAATGAGGAGAGTTTCATACGTTGTAACAATGTCTGAACATGGTCAGACAGTCGTAGAGAGATGAAATAAATAAGTTTATTGCGCTTTGTATTGAAAAGTATCAGTTGGTTGGCCTTGAACTTGCATGTCGCTTTCGTGACCTTGACATTTGATTTACTTGCAGGCTTCAATGGAAATAATGCGTATCGATAAACTAAATTGCTTGAATTTCGTGGTTTTATGGTATTTTGGATAACAGAAACTATTGAGAATTGTCACAAACATGTGATATTTCTGACTCAAACGATTAATCTAGACTAAAGTATTGTCGAATTTTAAAAGTATTTTTAAATAAACAACTTTTAAACTAATACACGAAATAGCCAATGTTTTTGTATAATGCCTATCTATCTTACTAAATTAAAATGATTTTTCCCCAATATAAAATACCCTTGGCTCCTATTTAAATCATCATAACCCCAAAACCATAAATTTTTTGTATATGGCGTGTCTAGTATTATGGGAACCACAGTGGCTAGGTGGTTAAGATGCTGGCTCGCTAGCCTGAATGGTCGGGTGTTCGATCCCTGCATTGGCCGAGAAAGTTCATCCAGATTTTCCAATGTGGTTTCCCCTTGTCAGTGGTGCAGAACGGAGGGCGTGACAAGGACAGCTGTCTAGTCCTTTGGATGAGACGAAAAAACCGAGGTCTCGTGTATATATTGGAATGCACGTAAAACATCCCCTGGCAGTTGGAATTCGATATAAGAGTAGGCGATAGTGCCGCTGCCCGGGTGTCTTCATTAGCCCAGTATAGGAGCAGAACAGTAGGACGTTGAACCCCATTTCATTTGTCTATTATTATAGGACTGGCGAGGTTCCGATTCCCCAGTTGTATGTGACAGGGAGTAGGGTCGTCCGTCCAACCTCGTTTGTTTCTCCGGTTGAATCCCACTTCGCAAGCGAATTATTCAAATAAAATTGAACGTGTTAGTCCCGAAATGACCTAGTCTGTGTCTAGTTTGTTTCTCCGGTTGAATCCCACTTCGCAAGCGAATTATTCAAATAAAATTGAACGTGTTAGTCCCGAAATGACCTAGTCTGTGTCTAGTGGATGTTACCCTCTCTCTCTCTCTCTCTCTCTCTCTCTCTCTCATTTTAAACAATAATAATTATTGTAGGCCTATAAAACTACTTGTTTTGTTTATAGAAATTAGATATGAAGTGAGTTTTAGATTATTTTCTTTAGGGTTTTTTTTTGTCTATTAAATATTTGAAAATAGTATACATGTACTTGAATCATATGGTAATATATAAAATAGTAACAAAGAGTTTTGTTTACTGGGGTTTTGAGTTTTTTTTTGTTCTTGAGGTTTTAATTTGGGGCGTCATCTAATTGCTTATATTGCCTTACAATACAATAAACGGGTGGGCCGCAGCTATATTTCCGATGCAATGAAAAGAAATTGAATGAAAATTATTTTTGTAAATGATAGTATGTTTAAATTATATAATCTGGGCCATTGGCAATATTATCATTATTCCAAATATATCTATACACGTATGTCGCAGTATATCTCACAATGTAGCTCTAATCAATGTTTGTTAATGTTGTGATTTTAAGTTAGGAGAGGGTGACGGCTGTCCTAAGTTAAAATTGTCCCTAAAATAGTTTTGTGAAACACCACTATTTTAAGTCAAGATACAATTTTAACTTACAATATTATTTTAGTGGATTTTAAGTGAGGATGGAATTTTAGTTAAAGACGATTTTAAGGAGATTTAAGTTTTTGTGAAACAGGGCCCAGTATTTTAATGAGATTGGACGTTAGACCCCCTTTCACTCATTTCATTTTTTCACAATGTCTATTTTTATGATTTCAGTACCTCTGGGTTAGCGTCCGAGTTCGGAGGATCTATAACGGGTCTCCATCTTCTATCAGCAGACGGTATAACCGATAAACGTAAAACTGTTCTCCATATATATCTATTGAATCTGACGTCACCGATATTAATGTTAGTAAGAAGTGCCTGGAGTAATTATCTTATTGTAAGTATAGATTCACAGCCATTGTTGATTTAAGTGCTGATAATTATTGTTAAGTTTTGAGGTGTTAATTAATTAACTAGAGCTTCTGTTTATCAGTTAAACATACATTATGCAAGAGCTAAATCTGTCTATTGCAGGTCTTTCTTTAGGCCTGAAATGTTACCTGAATTATTAATTAGACATTAATTAACTTATCCAGACCATAATCAACTCTCGATGGCATCGCTAGCCTGCGATACTTTTTGGATTAGGTTCTGAATCTGATTTTTCTGTTCAACTTCCATTCATAATTAAATCATGAAATGGATAATCAAGACTTATCCTACCGACTTTAATAATGATGATCGAGGCTAGACCGAAAATTCAATCGCTAAAATCTTGGTTCATAGTGGATCAATCTGACTGAAATTGTCAGCAAATTCTCTTTACATTATCTTGTTTTTAACTATTATAGTGAGAACTGCCAGCTCTTTATCTAATCTCCCATGAATGTATCTTTAAGTTTTAAGGTGTAAATTGATAAATCAGAGTTTCTGTTAACCCTGCTACATGTACGTCAGATATTGATGTGTTGATTACTGAGTCTATGGGGGGGTTGGATGGCTGAATGGTTAGCGTGCGCGCGCTGTATCATAAAGTCTGTCATTGAGTCGACTGCCGTGGTTTCGAATCCCCGGTTGTACGTGGCAAGGAGTAGGGTCGCCTGTCCAACCTCGTGGGTTTTCTCCGGGGCCTCAGGTTTCCTCCAACTGCTAAAGACCCCTACGCGCACGCGAATTATGTAAATAAAGTTAAACCATATGTTAGTCCCGAAATGACCTAGTTTGTGTCGAGTGGACGTTAAACCCCATTTCTCTCTACTGAGTCTATGCCATAGAAAATACATTGTCAATCATTCATATATTTATCATATAAAACATTAAAACATTCTACAAAACAAGTCAGTGTAGCATGAGAAGGGAGACAACTCTGATTGTTTAAGGATTCAGACCACATTTGATCTAGTCATCTAAAGTGTTTATTGCTTATATTTATAAACTATTTTTTTATTACAGAGATCAACTCTACAGATAGAAACTATTAGTAATATTCACCAGAAGTCAGCCGCTATCCGGGCATCACAGAATCTCAGGTAGGTGGAAACTATTAGTAATATTCACAAACTACTGCCAAGGGGTCTTTTACATGCATGTCAATGTGTACACAAGACCTTGTTTTTCATTTCATCCGAACGACTATACGTGTCCCTGGCCGCTGACAACGTGGAATCACACCGGAAAATTCCTATAAAACGTCTAGGTCAACACAGAGATTGAACAAGGGAGCGGAACCTTGAGGTCAGCGAGCCAACATCCTTCTCACTGACCTACTCTTGAACCACCAGCGCCCAACATTGAAAAGTGTCCTACTGTTTGATCCCCAGGACCCCACAATGAAGAGTGCCCTACTGTTTAACCAGCAGGGCACCAGAGTGAAGAGTTAACATGAGTAAAGATTAGATATAAAGTTTGATGATGGTTTATCCCCTTGTCAGTGGTGCAGAATTGTGGGCCTCACAAGGAAAACATCTAGTCGTTCGGATGTGATGAAATAATTGAGTTTCTGTGAATACCAACTGGCAGTTGGGAATTGAAATAAGGGTATGCCATAGTGTCACTGTCGGGACGAAAATAAGGGTATGTGACTATGGTAGCATCAGAATTATCATCATGGAAACTGATAGCTCGAACGTATGCAGTTTAAAAATAAACAAAAACTGAAAGTAGTTTATTAATCTCAATATTTAGGAGAGCTATTTAGCTAATTTGCAGGAGTCTTTAATGAAGTTGAGATGCATTGAGAGGAGCAGGATCGAAAGGGCACGTTAAACGTGAAGGACTGCTGCTTGGCTGATGCAGAAAATCAAGACGTTTCCATTTCAATTTGTTTCTATTTCTATATATCTTGTAGAGAGAAGACAGATCTGCTGTTTAATCAACTAAAGAGAGAATTACTCAACCCTAAAAATAACATCGATGATAACTACAGACTCATGAATGAATTGAAAGTAGCTACTGAAAAAAACTTTATCTTAAAAAAATTATTCTGGAGGGTGAGTGAAATTTATACATCAAATGGACACTGTTTATAATCTAGAATCTATTGATGCCCGTTCTAGGCAAACAGGTTAATCGGTAGTGGCAGCTGTAATCTTTTGTTAAAAGGAATTGGTTGTAATGAATTATTTTTATTTTTATTTTTCAGAATTCTGATATGTTTTTATTTTTGGTGAGGAATTTACAGAAATATTTACCTAAATCAGCTGTTAATTTAGACAGTATAGATGGTAGACGAGAACGGGTGGATGAATTTGAGTAAGTTAAACAATTACCATAGAAATATTATATAGTGGACAGTTACCATAGAAACATTATATAGTGGACAGTTACCATAGAAACATTATATAGTGGTCAGCTACCATAGAAATATCATATAGTGGTCAGTTACCATAGAAACATTATATAGCGGTCAGTTAACATAGAAACATATATAGTGGTCAGTTACCATAGAAACATTATATAGTGGTCAGTTACCACAGAAACATTATATAGTGGTCAGTTACCATAGAAACATATATAGCAGTCAGTTACAATAGAAACATATATAGTGGTCAGTTACCATAGAAACATATATAGTGGTCAGTTACCATAGAAACATATATAGTGGTCAGTTACCATAGAAACATATATAGTAGTCAGTTACAATAGAAACATATAAAGTAGTCAGTTACAATAGAAACATATATAGTGGTCAGTTACCATAGAAACATATATAGTAGTCAGTTACAATAGAAACATATATAGTGGTCAGTTACCATAGAAACAGGGTATAAAATTGGTCAAGAAAAGTTGTAGGTCAATAGGACTCGCTGGTAGACGCCATTTACGAAAGTTGTAGGTCCTAACATTAAGTTGTGGGCCCAATAAATATTAAAATAACACACGTACACTACCCCACCCCAAATGCCTTTATTTCTAAGTTCTAGCCATTTGGGATAGGTTTAAAAGTTAAAATATATATTTAATATTGATTGGCTGTACACATTACAATTTTAACTTTTGAAGGATTTAATGTTAATACTTTGTGTATAGAAAAATAAAAATCATTCCACCCAGACTTGATATTTATTTTTTCTGTAATAAATAAATATTTACTTGTAGTTGTAATAATCTTAATGATTATATATAGGTCTATTAGTACTGACAATATAATATCTCGAAATTCCATTCACATAGAAATCTGAAGATTACGGATTAAAATGGCACTTTACACTCTCCGAAAATTAACAGAAAATATTGTTCATTTGAATGAAATGAAATAAAACTGGCCTTCAGGTCCTTCCAGACATAGATTAATGTCTTACATTTCAATAAACATGTTAAATTTACTGTCCGGTAGCAACAATCATTTTATTTGTTTCATTCATCATGACGTGTGGAACTGTGAAATGAAAGACCGTGACCTCTTTCAAAATGAAAGTAAACTATCACAGCTGTTTGACAGACGACACATCATTTTTTATCATTATTAAACTGACCTGATGTCACACGTTGGGATAGTCCATATTTATGAAACCATAAACTCTTTGTTATTCTTTCCATACAGTATTTGACATATTGTACGTGCCTGTTTTCGAAGACTTGGGTCTCCATTACGGTAGTGAAATCATCATTAAAGAAATAGACTTGATAATCAAGTCTGCTAGTAAATTACGAGATTTAGAAAGAATGACGGGAAAGGCCACTCGTTTTTACATCACTGGAATTGTATTGTTACCAGTAGTTAGGCTTTCAGGGAATTTTCAGCTCTGCTTTTTCAATTTCATTTTTACAAGACAAAGAATTTATATCATGTGAATTATTATTATTGGATTCATGACTGTACAGTAGATGGACTGACCTAGTTTAGTAGCACACGTTTGGATTTCACAATTGAAGGAATTATAATATGCCGGATTATGCATGTGTGTATTCGATATCGGATAAAGACAAATAAGACAGTAAGTAAGGCATACTATCGGAACACACATTCATCTATTCCATACTTGATCAAAATGGTTAAATAATATTCTGCCTAACTCTGGGAGCGTGCTGATATTTGCAAGCACAACCTCACTCACTCACGATTTCTTTCGGTGGACAATTTTTTTTTCATTTCCGATAATGAAATACAGTTAAATATCTGGATGAAATATATTACGGATAGGGACAATATAAATATTTTCAAAGGAGAATTTGATAGAACCATGAACAAAATATCCATGACACATATTTTTCCTGACAAAAACAGTCGGCTCACAGGGCCGACCCACCATCTTCAAAATAAAAAGATGTCGGCCCGCCAAGTTATTTATCTGCGCTGGGCCGACGGACCGACGTAAATTTTAAACACTGCATAGAAACATATATAGTAGGCAGTTACAATAGAAACATATATAGTGGTCAGTTACCATAGAAACATATATAGTAGTCAGTTACAATAGAAACATATATAGTGGTCAGTTACCATAGAAACATATATAGTGGTCAGTTACCATAGAAACATATATAGTAGTCAGTTACAATAGAAACATATATAGTAGTCAGTTACAATAGAAACATATATAGTGGTCAGTTACCATAGAAACATATATAGTAGTCAGTTACAATAGAAACATATATAGTGGTCAGTTACCATAGAAACAGTGTATAAAATTCGTCAAGAAAAGTTGTAGGTCAATAGGACTCGCTGGTAGACGCCATTTACGAAAGTTGTAGGTCCTAACATTAAGTTGTGGGCCCAATAAATATTAAAATAACACACGTACACTACCCCACCCCAAATGCCTTTATTTCTAAGTTCTAGCCATTTGGGATAGGTTTAAAAGTTAAAATATATATTTAATATTGATTGGCTGTACACATTACAATTTTAACTTTTGAAGGATTTAATGTTAATACTTTGTGTATAGAAAAATAAAAATCATTCCACCCAGACTTGATATTTATTTTTTCTGTAATAAATAAATATTTACTTGTAGTTGTAATAATCTTAATGATTATATATAGGTCTATTAGTACTGACAATATAATATCTCGAAATTCCATTCACATAGAAATCTGAAGATTACGGATTAAAATGGCCCTTTACACTCTCCGAAAATTAACAGAAAATATTGTTCATTTGAATGAAATGAAATAAAACTGGCCTTCAGGTCCTTCCAGACATAGATTAATGTCTTACATTTCAATAAACATGTTAAATTTACTGTCCGGTAGCAACAATCATTTTATTTGTTTCATTCATCATGACGTGTGGAACTGTGAAATGAAAGACCGTGACCTCTTTCAAAATGAAAGTAAACTATCACAGCTGTTTGACAGACGACACATCATTTTTTATCATTATTAAACTGACCTGATGTCACACGTTGGGATAGTCCATATTTATGAAACCATAAACTCTTTGTTATTCTTTCCATATTTGACATATTGTACGTGCCTGTTTTCGAAGACTTGGGTCTCCATTACGGTAGTGAAATCATCATTAAAGAAATAGACTTGATAATCAAGTCTGCTAGTAAATTACGAGATTTAGAAAGAATGACGGGAAAGGCCACTCGTTTTTACATCACTGGAATTGTATTGTTACCAGTAGTTAGGCTTTCAGGGAATTTTCAGCTCTGCTTTTTCAATTTCATTTTTACAAGACAAAGAATTTATATCATGTGAATTATTATTGGATTCATGACTGTACAGTAGATGGACTGACCTAGTTTAGTAGCACACGTTTGGATTTCACAATTGAAGGAATTATAATATGCCGGATTATGCATGTGTGTATTCGATATCGGATAAAGACAAATAAGACAGTAAGTAAGGCATACTATCGGAACACATATTCATCTATTCCATACTTGATCAAAATGGTTAAATAATATTCTGCCTAACTCTGGGAGCGTGCTGATATTTGCAAGCACAACCTCACTCACTCACGATTTCTTTCGGTGGACAATTTTTTTTTCATTTCCGATAATGAAATACAGTTAAATATCTGGATGAAATATATTACGGATAGGGACAATATAAATATTTTCAAAGGAGAATTTGATAGAACCATGAACAAAATATCCATGACACATATTTTTCCCGACAAAAACAGTCGGCTCACAGGGCCGACCCACCATCTTCAAAATAAAAAGATGTCGGCCCGCCAAGTTATTTATCGGCGCTGGGCCGACGGACCGACGTAAATTTTAAACACTGCATAGAAACATATATAGTAGTCAGTTACAATAGAAACATATATAGTGGTCAGTTACCATAGAAACATATATAGTAGTCAGTTACAATAGAAACATATATAGTGGTCAGTTACCATAGAAACATTATATAGTGGTCAGTTACCATAGAAACTGAATGAGGATGGTTGTCATTCTTTGCTTGATAAGGAGGAGAGAACCCTTGTCGAAACGTCGCTGAGTAACTTGTACTCCATATAATTGTGTCATGTGCTATAACAAGTAACCTAGGAAACACAGAAGTATCAATAGTATCATATGTTAGATCAAGTTATATGTGTCATGTGTTATAACAAGTAACCTTGGAAACACAGAAGTATCATACATGTATGTTAGATCAAGTTATATGTGATTTTTGATTGGTATTTTTTTTATCGTAGCCGATTGATCAGACTTTGATGTCAGTCCTATTTTTGTTTGAATATAAGCTGATAAATTTTGGTTCTGTTTCAGAATTGTGATATTAATGGCAGAGATTTTGAGTTTAATGTTCCGAGAATCAGAAATTATTCCTGATAGAATTCAAACATTAAAAGCTGAAAGGTGAGTAAATATGTACAGGTACTTCTGTATATTACTGAGTTGACAACGTTGGGTAATGATAGGTTCCCACTATCACGATTCGTGCTACGATTGAAATCGTGGAGTGATCGTGGTGTTTCTGTCAGGTCTTATAATATGTTGAGGTCAGTCATAGCAATTGTGTTGACCGCATCGAAACGTATCTGAACGTACCTGCACATAGCATATCGTGGACTCAATAGGAACAATGCTATTGTAACACATCGCATGACAGTGGAAACCAGGCGTTAGGATGACACCACCATGATTCCACAATACAGAACATCTAGCCATCCCCAAATATACAAATATTCGAACAATCATGCAACATACATTCTCCTTGTTAAACTGTTTATTTTTGTATTTATTTCTAGAGGTAAAGCTGTATTGGATATGTTGATGACCTTGACTTGTTTACCAGAAATACCAAATAAATCCAGCAAACTTTCTAAAATAAAGCCAACTGATGAAGAGGTAGGAATATTTTAATAAGTGATATCTGGCCCCAAGTTCACAAATCATTCTCAGGCTCAACTTAAAGATACATTATGGAAGATTAGATAAAGAGCTGGTAGTTCTCACTATAATAGTTAAAAACTAGATAATGTAAAGGGAATTTGCTGAAAATTCAGGTCAAATTGATCCACTTTGAACCAATTGAGTTTTCCACCTACGTAGCCTCGATCATCATTTTAAAGTCAGTACAATCAGAAACATTGTCTTGATTATCCATTTCATGATTTAATCACGAATGAAATTTAACATTTCACGCATAAAGAAAAATCTGTTATAGGCAGATTTAGCTACTGCATAATGTATGTTTAAGAATTTACTCAACTTTCAATCACTGTTTATGAGAAATATCTTTGATCCAGAAACACCAAACTTTGCACATAGTTTCTTATTGAAATATTTGATACATTAAAACAACAAATGTTTTTTAAAGGGCTATCTTTTAGTTCAAAACAAGGCGTACAATTTTGAGTAAATTCCAAATTTAAGTCTTAGAATGCCTTGTGAACTCGAGGCCAGCTGTTTTGGCATGAAAAGGATTGGGTTTTAATTAGTAAAATATAGACCTATATTGTCCCAGACTCAAGGGAGTTGCGAGAGAGAGAGAGAGAGAAATGAGGTTTAACGTCCACTCGACACAAACTAGGTCATTTCGGGACTAACATGGTTTAATTTTATTTCAATAATTCGCTTGCGCGTAGGGAGGAAACCGGAGGACCCGGAGAAAACCCATGAGGTTGGACAGGCGACCCTACTCCTTGTCATGCAAGGGAGTTGCAGTGGCTGGGGGATTAAGTCACTGATTCACTAACCAGAAGGACCTCGATCAGGTATCAATTCTTGTGTTGACCAAGAAAGTTCCTCAGGACATTCCGCAACGGTTTTCCACTTGTCATTGGCAAGGAACAGCAAACAAGATCTTGTTGCATGCTCATAAAAAAACCACTGAAAATTTGACGAAGAGCAGACAAAATTCCCCTCAATTCAAATCATGGTTTTTCCGGTCTTGGCCCAGTTGATGCAGGATAGGAGGGTGTTAAAATCTGTAATAAATTGTCTTTACATTTTAATTAGTAAAGAATCAAAACTAATGTTACAATATGATATAATGTTATATGAGATGTTATAGTTTTTAATGTTATATAGTATGGTATTATATTAACAGCTCAATAAGTTATTAGATGTAATACACATGTAGTTTTTAATGTTATAAAATACCGTATTATATAACAGCTCATTAAGAAATGAATGAAATGGGGTGTAAAATCCTATTAAGTTATTAGATGTAATACACATGTAATTTTTAATGTTTTAAAATGTGGTATTATATTGACAGCTCATTAAGTTATTAGATGTAATATACATGTAGTTTTTAATGTTATAAAATATGGTATTATATTTACAGTTCACCAAATTATTAGATGAGTATACTCAAATTTCTGTCACGGCCGTGTTCGAGTTATTTCTGATGGCTAGACAGGTAAGTCATTGGTAAAATTTCACTGGAAAGTGTAAATAGATGATTAACAATTGTATATCTTGAACATTTCGTTCAAAAGGGAATCAGATCAGGACACAAGATTGCAAAGCACAGTAGCATCAGTGATCTCAGAAAAAAACATTTGTTCACTAAAGATATAGGGGGTTGGATGGCATGATTGTACGTGGGTTTTCTCCGGGTCCTCCGTTTTTTTTTTTCACTGCTAAAGACCCATATCGCAAGCGAATTGTTGAAATAAAAATGAACCATGTGTTAGTCCCGAAATGACCTATTTTGTGTGGAGTGGACGTTAAACCCAATTTTTCTCTCTTACTGAATTTATAAATTTGCAGTCCCAAGTTTTATAAGTTCCGAAATGACCTAGTTTGTGTCAAGTGGACATTAAACCCCTCTCTCTGCGTTCTTGTACAACTCAATTTACCAACTTTCTCCACCACATGAATTAAGGAACTCCATTTACTGACACTCTACTTCATGGATTATAGAACTCATTTTATACCATTTTGACCACATGGATTATTGAACCCAATTTACTGACTCTCCACCACATGAATTATAGAACTCAAATTATCCCCTCTTGACCACATGGATTATAGAACTCAATTTATCCCATCTTGACCACATGGATTATATAACTTTATCCACTCTACACCACATAAATTATAGAACTCAATTTATCCACTCTACACCACATGAATTAGAGAACTCAATGTATCAACTTTCTCCACCATATGAATTATAGAACTCAATCTATTCCTTCTTGACCACATGGATTATAGAACTTTATCCACTCTATACCACATGAATTATAGAACTCAATTCATTAACTTTCTCCACCATATGAATTAGAGAACTCAATTTATCAACTTTCTCCACCATATGAATTATAGGAGTCTCCACCACATAGATCATAGAACTCAATTTACCAACTTTCTCCACCATATGAATTATGGAACTCAGTTTTAATTAAAACATAAATTTTTCCCAAAAATTAAAAAGATTATATAATTGAAAGAATGCCTCCGCTGAAAGCTTGGGTTGGATTAATGAATAGTTAAATTTTATACCTCGGAATCCCTGAATCTTTTACGGAAGCCAGGTATTCCGATCTATTGTACAATATTGTATATCTGTTGTATAGTTATTCTGATGTTGTGTTTTTCAGGCATCATGGGGATATACTGAGGATAATTTCTTCAACATCAGTTGGGTGGTGCGAATATTAGAAGATTACAGAACCACGGTAATTTATATATTTTGTTGTTTACCATCTGGTTGTACCATTCTTGAGGAACTTTTTTGGCAAATACTGAAATTAAACCCAGAATCTCCCTGGTTAGGTAGTCGATGTCATACCCACCTAGCTAGTCACTATGGCTTCCCATACAAATTATGGTTATATCTCAATCCCAATAAAAGTCACAATCAAATGAAAAGGGGGATTTCAGACTACAAGGCATCTGAAACATATTTGTTATGTTTAAACAAGCCAAACCCACCTAGCCAGTCCCACCTAGCCATAACCATCTAGCCCAAATCCCCAAAATAGTCACAATAGAGTGTTCAGGGGGATATTTGTTGTATTGAAATATGTTATGACTCTACTCACACCACCTGAGTTGTCGGGACTGACAGAACTGTGACAGGACTCAATTCTGTGCCAATCGATTGCAGTTCGGAAGGTTCCAGACTGACGATCAAACATAGCCTATGTGTATTAATAGAGCATGGGATGTGTTCTTAGATGTGTATGCATGATAACTTTACGCTAATTAATAAAAAAAAAATGAAATTTTGTACTGTCCACCCCCCTTAAAGAGAATGGGAGACAACTGCTGTTAAAACATGTTGTTTGTTTGTATGAACAGGAGAAGTTTGTAGAACGTGTGATCCGTCAAGTCTTGGATGTGATTGGTCCATCTCAGTATGATATGTTGAGTCCGGAGGAGTCTATCTGTCTGTATCAACATTTTACTGTATTGTTGACGTTTCTGGAATACAGTCCACGTGTTACAGCCTTTATATATAATAGTTATATAGAGGAATTCAAGTAAGTACGCTTTATTTACTAATAAATATAGAAATGCAGGAGGAGGGGGATCGGCAACACTCGCTTGAAAGTGAGAAGGGGATCGGTAACACTCCCTTAAAATTGAGAAGGGGATCAGCAACACTCCCTTAAAAGTGAAAAGGTGATCGGTAACACTCCCTTAAAAGTGGGAAGGGGGTCAGCAAAACCCTTAAAAGTGAGAAGGGAATAAATAATACTCCCTTAAAAGTGGGACCGGCAAAACTCACTTGAAAGTGAGAAGGGGATCGGCAACAACCCCTTAAAAGTGAGAAGGTGATCAGCAACCCTCCCTTAAAAGTGGGAAGGGGATCCGCAAAACCCTGAAAAGTGACAAGGCGATCGGCAACACTCACTTAAAAGTGAGAAGGGGATCGGCAACACTTACTTAAAAGTGAGAAGGGGATCAGTAACACTGCCTTAAAAGTGAGAAGTGGATGGCCAGCATTCCCTTAAATCCCTTGAGTAGGGGTTGGCAACACTCCCTTAAATCCCTTAAAAGTGAGAAGGGGATCAGCAACACTCACTTGAAAGTGAGAAGGGGATGGGTAACACTCACTTAAAAGTGAGAAGGGGATCGAAAACACTCCCTTAAGAGTGAGTAGGGGATAGAAAAGTACTTTTCTTTGCCAAGATGTAGTTGGTGAAATATAAACGGTAACCAAGTTGAAAATGATATAGTTTGTGCTGGCCTTAGTAGACTAATTATCTGTAGCTTTCCAGGATTGTCCAAACTAGATGCTCCGTGTGGTGGTGCAGGACACAGGGCCCAACATGAAACATTTTCTAGTTATTCGGATGGGACTAAAAAAACGCATCCACCTGTTTTTTCATAGCCGAAAAAGTTCTCAGGATTTCCAGGTTTAATTTCCGCTTGTCAGTGGTGCAGGATCGGGGATCTGAAAAGGTTCCGATGAAACGATAAACCGAGGTTTGATGTGGAAGTTGCCGTTGGAAATGAACAGATCCACACATACACAAAAACACATACTTATGGAAAAACAGCTACTTTCTCAATGGCGGGCACATAAAAGATCCCTTGCCAGTGTGAATTTGTACACTACTGTCGGGGGAAAATCTACCCCGGATGATGCAGTGGGACAAATAAACCAACCTGAATTCAATTTTAACAACTTCAATATTTTTTTTTTTTTTTTTTCAGATACTATATCCACCATAAAAATGTTGCCAAAAAACTGCCTTCAAGTTTTCCTATAACCCAGATGACTCTCAGTATTGCTGATGCCGTCATCAATAAAGTTCGCAATGCTGGTATTACGCTCAACAAAACCCCAAGATAATCTCGGGGTCCAAATTATACTCTCATTACCATCAACACGGGTCACGCTGGTATTATGCTCAACAAAACTCCAAGATAATCTATTATGCTCAACAAAACTCCAAGATAATCTATTACGCTCAACAAAACTCCAAGATAATCTATTACGCTCAACAAAACTCCAAGATAATTTATTACGCTCAACAAAACTCCAAGATAATCTTGGGGTCCAAATTAAACTTTCATTACCATCAACACAGTATACTTATGGAAAACAGCTACTAGTGTATTATAAGCCACACGCTGGTATTACGCTCAACAAAACTCCAAGATAATCTTGGGGTCCAAATTAAACTTTCATTACCATCAACACAGTATACTTATGGAAAACAGCTACTAGTGTATTATAAGCCACACGCTGGTATTACGCTCAACAAAACTCCAAGATAATCTCGGGGTCCAAATTAAACTTTCATTACCATCAACACAGTATACTTATGGAAAACAGCTACTAGTGTATTATAAGCCACACGCTGGTATTACGCTCAACAAAACTCCAAGATAATCTCGGGGTCCAAATTAAACTTTCATTACCATCAACACAGTATACTTATGGAAAACAGCTACTAGTGTATTATAAGCCACACGCTGGTATTACGCTCAACAAAACTCCAAGATAATCTCGGGGTCCAAATTAAACTTTCATTACCATCAACACAGTATACTTATGGAAAACAGCTACTAGTGTATTATAAGCCACACGCTGGTATTACGCTCAACAAGACTCCAAGATAATCTCGATGTTGAAATTATACTCTCATACCATCAACACAGTGAAATGATCGTGTCTGAAGTTAAAAAAAACCAAAAACACATATTTATGGAAAACAGCTACTAGATTATTGTAAGGTGAGGTTTCGAAGAGAATGAGTATTCTCGCAAAGTTATCAATCTAATACAGCAATATGAGGCAAATATATAGACAAAATATAATAACATAACCAAAAACATAAATGACAACAAGATCAAAAGCCTGTTGTCATGTATGGTTTTGGTTATTTTGTTTATATATTTGGCGGGGAGTGGATGGCTGAATGGTTAGCGTGTGTGCGCTGTATCATTAGATCTGTCATTGAGTCAACTCCCCCCGGAAATGGATGCTCAGTGCCATCAACCCCTCTGGGTTACATCTAATTCATAAGGCCAACTTCAAGTTTGGTCAAAGGTCACAAGATGTAAGCAGGACTAGCACTAATCCCAAATGCTTACCCTAACCTTAACCTACAATCTCGCCAACAATCACATGCTCTAACCTTTTTTCCTTATTTACATCTCAGCAACCTTGCCGAAAATTGGGCTAGCCTTAACAAATAGATTTATCCCCCCTCCCCCCCTCTGAGCCTTTCTCTACATAATGTCCCTACTGATAGTATTGTGAAATTCATGGATTTTTGTTTATTGTGAATACAATTATGATGTAATAAACTGAAGATGCTCTAACATATATTAATGTGCCAATTTCTATTGTAGTAGCTAATCATGACATTTGCTCAGCTTATTGTTATGTAAGAACATGACATTTTATATTTTTTGATTTTATAATCGGGATCACCATCCTTGTTCGAATGAAATGAAAAGAGGTGTAAGCATTCTTGTCAAGCCAAGTTCAACTATGAAACTATGAAATGAAATGAAATGGGGTTTAACATCCTACTGTTCTGCTCCTACTAGGCTAATGAAGACGGGCATGCACCATACAGCATGCAGTGTGCTATAAGGTTGTTATTATGATGAAATGTTGATTGGTTTTGACTTGTAACTTAAGGCTTTAATTATGGTCAAATGTTGATGGCTTCTGACTTGTAACTTAAGGCTTTAATGATAGCCTCTGACTTGTAACTTAAGGCTTTAATTATGATGAAATGTTGATTGCTTCTGACTTGTAACTTAAGGCTTTAATTATGATGAAATGTTGATAGCCTCTGATTTGTAACTTAACTTAAGGCTATAATTATGATGAGATGTTGATTGCTTCTGACTGCTGTAACTATAGTAACCAAAAGCTTTAATTGTTATAAATTGTTGATAATTGCTGATAATTAATGTGTTTTTACTGCTCTCAAATTTCTAAATCTCACTGATGATCGTGCCCAGATATAGGAGGTAGGGCACCTAGAAATATAATCGTTTACAACATATAAATATACATGTGTTTGTCCCGAAATGACATTTTCTCTCCATTTAACATTAAACCCTGTACCTCTTGTCATATAGTCAAGTGCTATTGGTTTCCACCCCATGCTTGTTTGTGACAAGGGTAGGGACGCCTGCCTGACCTGTGTTTTCTCCGGGTCGTCCAGTTTCTTCCCACAGCTAAAGACCCCCAAGCGCAAGAGAATAATAGGAATAAATTTGTAGGATATGTTAGTCCCGAAATTACCTTCTGTGTTTTCTCTGGGTCTTCCAGTTTCTTCCCACAGCTAAAGACACCTACCCGCAAGAGAATTATAGGAATAAATTTGTAGGGTATGTTAGTCCCGAAATGACCTTGTATGTTTTGGGCAGTCCTTAATACCCAGGTCTCAAACTCTCTCTCCCTTGTCACATGAGATCAAATTGTTGATAATCAGATATAAGACCCTATGATAGATAGTGAACGCCCTAGACACCCCCCCCCCCACACACACTTTAAAAAGCGTGGGGGGGGGGGATGACCGAATGGTTAGTGTGTTAGTGTGTGCGCTGTATCATAAGGTCTGTCAATGAGTCAACTAGCGTGGTTTCGATTTCCCGGTTGTACGTGACAAGGAGTAGGGTCGCCTGTCCAACCTCGTGGGTTTTCTCTGGGTCCTCCGGTTTCCTCCCACTGCTAAAGACCCCTACGCGCAAGCGAATTATTCAAATAAAATTGAACTATATGTTAGCCCCGAAATGACAGTTGTGTCGAGTGGGCGTTATCTTTGTGGTGTTTGTCTTTCTTGAGTGTCAAAGGTGGGGGAAAAAGTCCACGGACCGCCCGGATGGCACACACACACACTCTCTCTCTCTCCCACTCTCTCTCTCTCTCTCCCCCTTTTAACGGTGGATGTCGCTTGCAATAGATCGAGTCCCGCGTTCGAGTTAGTTACAAATAGACATGTTATTATATTTCGGAGCCATGGTAGCGTGTTCGAACCCTGCATTGGCCGAGAAAGTTCATCGGATTTTCCGTCGGGATTTGCCCTTGTACAGAAGGGCCCGACAAGGACAGCTGCCGTTCGGATGTGTCGAAAAACCGTGCACGTAAAAGATCCCTTGACAGTTGGAATTCGATATAGAGTAGGCCATATTGCCGCTACCCGGGCAAAATTTCCCTCATAGCACACTGTATGGCATATGTCCATCTTCATTAGCCCAGCCGGAGCTGAACAGTAGGACGTTCAACACCATTTCATTTTTTCGTTAAGGGACTTTGTTTCTAAGTTTTTACTCAAACAGTGTTTGCGAATTTGTTAGAATTCTATTTTTCTATGACTAGTCTGTGTCTGCGGTTATATGCCGTCTATGACATGCCATATACAGTATCAATTTTGCAAAATTCAGATATTTTTCATATATATTTAGCCAGGTGAGCCGCTAATTTTTCATGTGTTCCAAGGTGTGCCGTTGCCAAAAGAAGGTTGCGAACCACTGTATTAGACCGTTACGGTAACCGTAAAAACAATGTAATATTGTTCTGATTCAGCCATAAAATATTGGCTTAGCGAAGATGGTATAATTCGGGTCGACAGTGAAATATTTACATAAATGCGAAATAACCGTAAAAACAATGTAATATTGTACTGATTCAGCCATAAAATATTGGCTTTGTGAAGATGGTATAATTCTGGGCGACAGTGAAGTATTTATATAAATATTTTAATCACTTATACAAAATATTTACAACATTTATTTCACATACAGTACTCATCAAACTATTCCACGAAGTCGCATTATACAACTGGTACCCGAAAGCATTTCTTATTTTGTCTTAAATAATTGATATCAGAAGCCCAACTGTTATTTCAAATCAGTTATGTTCGGTGAAATACGCGAATAGTCTGAATTGAATGACCGTATTTGACGTCTGGTTATTCCAGTCTACACAGGTAGTATTGTCCTACATGGGATATGTTTAGCCCCATTCATCAAGTCGATTCATACAACTAGCACTCGAAAATATTTTTTATTTTGTCTTAAATATTGGATATCAGAAGCTTATCCTTTCACGGTAAGATAACAACATCAATGTTGATTTAAATTAACAAATAATTCGTGTTTTCAATGTCGAGGACTATGGATTGAGTTAAAGACCACGCTTCTTTTAATCCTATACTGTCAAATAGATGGGGGTTGGATGGCCGAGTGGTTAGCGCGTGTGCGTTGTAACATATGGTCTGTCATTGAGTCAACTGGCGTGGTTTCGATTCCCCGGTTGAACGTAACAAGGAGTAGGGTCGCCTGTCCAAATTCGCGGGTTTTCTCTGGGTCCCCCGGTTTCCTTCCACAGCTAAAGACCCCTACGCGCAAGAGTATTATTGAAATAAAAGTGAACCATATGTTAGTCCCGAAATGACCTGGTTTGTGTCGAGTGGACGTTAACCCTCTCTCTCTCTCATCCCAAACTTAGACTGCCTATCTACAGCTAGCTCCGGCTGAGAATAGGCCCTAATCTAATTAACCGACATTTAAATTCCTACATCGACGGATTTTAGTCGAAAACACTGAGTATGCTTTTAGAAATTTTTAAAAGTATTTATTTCTCTTCTATTGTCATATTGAATGAAATTAAATATGTTTATTTAGCCGCTGTGTGTATGAAAAATGTCAAACTAATCAAAGCCGAATCACAAAATAGTCCTCTAATTATTCAATATGGCAGCGCCCATGAAACATAATTTCACAGAGGCGGTTTTATTTGCGAAAACAAATTTAGGAGTATCTAACCTTGTTTTGAAAGATAAACAGATTGAAACTCTAAAGACAGTTTACAATGGTAAATAATTTATTGCAATATTACCCAGAGCACATATTATATATCGCTTTTACGCGAGTGTCCGCGACATGCCGTGTTTACATAAAACACACGTGCGTGGGTTATTTTTACTCTGTTGTCTAAACAAAGCGGTCTCGAGTCGATAAGTCCCGCCCCAAAATGATCACATGAGCGTTTTAAATGGCGGATAATCAGTGCAGTGTCACATTCTGGGAAGTATGACGTAGATGGGTCGCTGCGTGCAGTATTGCTCTCTCTCTCTCTCTCTCTCTCTCTCTCTCTCTCTCTCATGTTTCCAAGATTAAAAGGTGTTGACGGAAATAATTCCTCAGGATTTTCCGGGGTGATTTCTTATTGTCAGTGGTGCCAGAGTGACCTCCCTTCAACTGTATGTCCATCCACTGCCTTTCTACTCCCTCTTCTCTAAAATATTTATTTGTTTTCAATTCGTCCTATATAAAATCTAGCCGGCGTGGTTGGCAGGTTATAGTCTCCGTCCATTTCACCAAAATCCACATAATCAGGGATCGACATTTCATTTGCTACAGACGGCTTCTTCGATTTCAAATTTACGGGTTCGGGTAGTCTCGGGCGTTCACTTGGGTCAACCGGGCTTTTTCCAATTGGTTCTCTCTCGGTTGTTTCCGGGGTCGGCACAGTCGCTGCCACAGATCCTTCCAGTAGATATGGCGTGGAATAACCGGACGGGACGTGTTTCAGATCCTGTCGTTCAATAAACGGCGAATAGTAGGACTGTTTCAATCCGTTTTGTTTGTTGTGATCATTTTGATCGGATGTGGAAGTTTCGCTCGATGTTATTATATCTGGGATTGATAACGTCTTTAGTGGTCGCTTAGGAACGGGTGGTTTGATGTTTGACCTCCGTTCGTCAGAGGAATTGTAACTGGGATCATCCTGAAATAAAACAAATGGACGGGAATTTGTCAGGTTTTTCCAAAACTGGTTTAGTTAAATTCGCCCATTATTATTCACCCGTGTAAAAACTAAATCTCAAAATATTGTTTGATGGCCCTTGTTATCACTTCAGGCAAATCTTGATGGCCGATTGGTCCTTGTATCGAAATCTCCATGGAGACTTACATATAGTACAGGGGTGGACATAGATTATTCGTCATATCCGAACAATTAGGCACACTTTCCTGCTCAGTCCCACAGGCGCGCTATACGCCTGTAACCGGGAGAATTGTACCTTACCGTTCGAAAATCGCGGTTGCGGTCGAGAGGCAAGTACATTACTGGTCGACAATTTCGGTCAAGAGACAAGTACATTACCGCTCGACGGTGGCAGTCGAGAAGCCAGTACATTACCGTGTTTAAGGCCAGGCTGGATAGACCACCGGCGGGCGACTGTGCTTACCAATAAGCCTGTATACCCAATTTTTTAAACTGTACATACACATCTATTGTTTTTAATCAGCTGTTTTATGCCATGCGCACGAGTACTGACGTTCTGAAAGAATCCCACTATTTATATAGAAGAAGACGAAATGCACAAGACGACGTCGAAAACACCTCATAACCCTCAGCCCCGTAACTAAGGGGGGGGGGGGCTTTGCCCCTCCCCACTGCAAAAAGTTTCGCCCCCCCCCCCCCCGTGAAAAAATTGTCGACGTTAAAAAAAAATAGATATACAATGTCCGTCAAGCCAAGCACCCCTGAGAACACCCCCGCCCACCCTCGTTGTTTTGAGCTAGTTAAGGCCCCGATAACTCTACTATTTGTTAGTATGTAGACCCCCTACTAACCATAATATCATCAATAGTAGCATACTCTTCATCTGTAACACTATAACCAGGATTATTGACTGATGTTTTAAAATCTGGATGTGATGGTCGTCTTAATCTGAAAAATATACAAAATCAGTGTAATAATTCTTAACTCATAAAACTATTCAGTAACTTAACTTTGACTAACATTCGGTCATTGAGAGAGCTAAATTATCTCGTCACACAAAATCAGTGTTCTGAGTACTAGGCCCCGGGTATCACACGCCACTGTAACCGACCATAACAAATTATAAAGGTTCTTTGCCAATCCATATAGAATGAAATGGTCTTTAAGTTCCCAATGTTCCGCTTCTACGGGGCTAATGAAGACAGACATACACCAAACTATGAGGGAAATTGTGCCCGGACAGCGGCGCGATGGTCTGCTCTTATTTCAAATTCCAACTTTCAAGGGATCTTTTACGCGCACGCCAATGTGTACATGGGATCTCAGTTTTTCGTTCCATCCGAAAGACTAGTCGTTGTCCCTTGCCAGACAGTCTGTCCTGCACCGCTAACAAGGGGAACCACGCCGGAAAATCCCGATGAACTTTCTCTCCCAATGGAGGGTTGCTCAGATAACACGTGTTGTCAAGGGGACAATGGCGGTGATTGGTGGCATTTGTAATGACGAAATGAGAAACACCACATTAAATTGACGGGAATTCTAATATTTTAAACCGGAAATGGTATGTGAATGTCATACTGCATTTAATTTACAAATAGGAGTGTTGTGAATATTTTAATTTATTTAAAGGGATAGGAAACGCAGATATGTTAATTTACTTAAAGGGAAACTTCCGCTATTTTTATCTATTTAAAGATACAGATCCGGGTATTTTAATTTTGTTAAAGGTGTGCTGCAGGTATTTTAATTTTGTTAAAGGTGGGCTTCAGGTATTTGCATTTACTTAAAGGGGAACTTCAAGTGTTTCGATTTGTTTAACTAGGCAATGCGGGAATTCTATTTCGTTTAAATGGGAAATTTGGGTATTTTTATTTTGTTTAAAGGAGGGTTGCGGGCATTGTATTATGCTTAAAGGGGTACTGCGGGTATTTTTATTTGGTTTAAACGGTACTGTGAATATTTTAATTGCAGTTACTTTAATGTGTTTAAATGAGAAAAGCAGATGTTGTGAAATCGTCAAATTGGAATGGTTATATTAATTCCACGTTAAGATACATACCCTTTTGGAAGTCCCATCATAAAGAACCCTTTTGATCTGAGATAATACAACAAGAGTACCACTAATAAAATAATTATAATTCTATTTTTCTATGACTAGTCTGTGTCTGCGGTTATATGCCGTCTATGACATGCCATATACAGTATCAATTTTGCAAAATTCAGATATTTTTCATATATATTTAGCCAGGTGAGCCGCTAATTTTTCATGTGTTCCAAGGTGTGCCGTTGCCAAAAGAAGGTTGCGAACCACTGTATTAGACCGTTACGGTAACTAAAAAAAAGAGAAATAACCGTAAAAACAATGTAATATTGTTCTGATTCAGCCATAAAATATTGGCTTAGCGAAGATGGTATAATTCGGGTCGACAGTGAAATATTTACATAAATGCGAAATAACCGTAAAAACAATGTAATATTGTACTGATTCAGCCATAAAATATTGGCTTTGTGAAGATGGTATAATTCTGGGCGACAGTGAAGTATTTATATAAATATTTTAATCACTTATACAAAATATTTACAACATTTATTTCACATACAGTACTCATCAAACTATTCCACGAAGTCGCATTATACAACTGGTACCCGAAAGCATTTCTTATTTTGTCTTAAATAATTGATATCAGAAGCCCAACTGTTATTTCAAATCAGTTATGTTCGGTGAAATACGCGAATAGTCTGAATTGAATGACCGTATTTGACGTCTGGTTATTCCAGTCTACACAGGTAGTATTGTCCTACATGGGATATGTTTAGCCCCATTCATCAAGTCGATTCATACAACTAGCACTCGAAAATATTTTTTATTTTGTCTTAAATATTGGATATCAGAAGCTTATCCTTTCACGGTAAGATAACAACATCAATGTTGATTTAAATTAACAAATAATTCGTGTTTTCAATGTCGAGGACTATGGATTGAGTTAAAGACCACGCTTCTTTTAATCCTATACTGTCAAATAGATGGGGGTTGGATGGCCGAGTGGTTAGCGCGTGTGCGTTGTAACATATGGTCTGTCATTGAGTCAACTGGCGTGGTTTCGATTCCCCGGTTGAACGTAACAAGGAGTAGGGTCGCCTGTCCAAATTCGCGGGTTTTCTCTGGGTCCCCCGGTTTCCTTCCACAGCTAAAGACCCCTACGCGCAAGAGAATTATTGAAATAAAAGTGAACCATATGTTAGTCCCGAAATGACCTGGTTTGTGTCGAGTGGACGTTAACCCTCTCTCTCTCTCACCCCAAACTTAGGCTGCCTATCTACAGCTAGCTCCGGCTGAGAATAGGCCCTAATCTAATTAACCGACATTTAAATTCCTACATCGACGGATTTTAGTCGAAAACACTGAGTATGCTTTTAGAAATTTTTAAAAGTATTTATTTCTCTTCTATTGTCATATTGAATGAAATTAAATATGTTTATTTAGCCGCTGTGTGTATGAAAAATGTCAAACTAATCAAAGCCGAATCACAAAATAGTCCTCTAATTATTCAATATGGCAGCGCCCATGAAACATAATTTCACAGAGGCGGTTTTATTTGCGAAAACAAATTTAGGAGTATCTAACCTTGTTTTGAAAGATAAACAGATTGAAACTCTAAAGACAGTTTACAATGGTAAATAATTTATTGCAATATTACCCAGAGCACATAGTATATATCGCTTTTACGCGAGTGTCCGCGACATGCCGTGTTTACATAAAACACACGTGCGTGGGTTATTTTTACTCTGTTGTCTAAACAAAGCGGTCTCGAGTCGATAAGTCCCGCCCCAAAATGATCACATGAGCGTTTTAAATGGCGGATAATCAGTGCAGTGTCACATTCTGGGAAGTATGACGTAGATGGGTCGCTGCGTGCAGTATTGCTCTCTCTCTCTCTCTCTCTCTCTCTCTCTCATGTTTCCAAGATTAAAAGGTGTTGACGGAAATAATTCCTCAGGATTTTCCGGGGTGATTTCTTATTGTCAGTGGTGCCAGAGTGACCTCCCTTCAACTGTATGTCCATCCACTGCCTTTCTACTCCCTCTTCTCTAAAATATTTATTTGTTTTCAATTCGTCCTATATAAAATCTAGCCGGCGTGGTTGGCAGGTTATAGTCTCCGTCCATTTCACCAAAATCCACATAATCAGGGATCGACATTTCATTTGCTACAGACGGCTTCTTCGATTTCAAATTTACGGGTTCGGGTAGTCTCGGGCGTTCACTTGGGTCAACCGGGCTTTTTCCAATTGGTTCTCTCTCGGTTGTTTCCGGGGTCGGCACAGTCGCTGCCACAGATCCTTCCAGTAGATATGGCGTGGAATAACCGGACGGGACGTGTTTCAGATCCTGTCGTTCAATAAACGGCGAATAGTAGGACTGTTTCAATCCGTTTTGTTTGTTGTGATCATTTTGATCGGATGTGGAAGTTTCGCTCGATGTTATTATATCTGGGATTGATAACGTCTTTAGTGGTCGCTTAGGAACGGGTGGTTTGATGTTTGACCTCCGTTCGTCAGAGGAATTGTAACTGGGATCATCCTGAAATAAAACAAATGGACGGGAATTTGTCAGGTTTTTCCAAAACTGGTTTAGTTAAATTCGCCCATTATTATTCACCCGTGTAAAAACTAAATCTCAAAATATTGTTTGATGGCCCTTGTTATCACTTCAGGCAAATCTTGATGGCCGATTGGTCCTTGTATCGAAATCTCCATGGAGACTTACATATAGTACAGGGGTGGACATAGATTATTCGTCATATCCGAACAATTAGGCACACTTTCCTGCTGAGTTCCACAGGCGCGCTATACGCCTGTAACCGGGAGAATTGTACCTTACCGTTCGAAAATCGCGGTTGCGGTCGAGAGGCAAGTACATTACTGGTCGACAATTTCGGTCAAGAGACAAGTACATTACCGCTCGACGGTGGCAGTCGAGAAGCCAGTACATTACCGTGTTTAAGGCCAGGCTGGATAGACCACCGGCGGGCGACTGTGCTTACCAATAAGCCTGTATACCCAATTTTTTAAACTGTACATACACATCTATTGTTTTTAATCAGCTGTTTTATGCCATGCGCACGAGTACTGACGTTCTGAAAGAATCCCACTATTTATATAGAAGAAGACGAAATGCACAAGACGACGTCGAAAACACCTCATAACCCTCAGCCCTGTAACTAAGGGGGGGGGGGCTTTGCCCCTCCCCACTGCAAAAAGTTTCGCCCCCCCCCCCCGTGAAAAAATTGTCGACGTTAAAAAAAAATAGATATACAATGTCCGTCAAGCCAAGCACCCCTGAGAACACCCCCCGCCCACCCTCGTTGTTTTGAGCTAGTTAAGGCCCCGATAACTCTACTATTTGTTAGTATGTAGACCCCCTACTAACCATAATATCATCAATAGTAGCATACTCTTCATCTGTAACACTATAACCAGGATTATTGACTGATGTTTTAAAATCTGGATGTGATGGTCGTCTTAATCTAAAAAAATATAAAATCAATGTAATAATTCTTAACTCATAAAACTATTCAGTAACTTAACTTTGACTAACATTCGGTCATTGAGAGAGCTAAATTATCTCATCACACAAAATCAGTTTTCTGAGTACTAGGCCCCGGGTATCACACGCCACTGTAACCGACCATAACAAATTATAAAGGTTCTTTGCCAATCCATATAGAATGAAATGGTGTTTAAGTTCCCAATGTTCCGCTTCTACTGGGCTAATGAAGACAGACATACACCAAACTATGATGGTCTGCTCTTATTTCAAATTCCAACTGTCAAGGGATCTTTTACGCGCACGCCAATGTGTACATGGGATCTCAGTTTTTCGTTCCATCCGAACGACTATTCGTTGTCCCTTACCAGACCGTCTGTCCTGCACCGCTAACAAGGATAACCACGCCGAAAAATCCAGATGAACTTTCTCTGCCAATGGAGGGTGGCTCAGATAACACGTGTTATCAAGGGGACAATGGCGGTGATTGGTGGCATTTGTAATAACGAAATGAGAAACACCACATTAAATTGACGGCAATTCTAATATTTTAAACCGGAAATGGTATGTGAATGTCATACTGTATTTAATTTACAAATAGGAGTGTTGTGAGTATTTTAATTTATTTAAAGAGATAGGAAACGCAGATATAATAATTTACTTAAAGGGGAACTTCCGCTATTTTTATCTATTTAAAGATACAGATTCGGGTATTTTAATTTTGTTAAATGTGTGCTGCAGGTATTTTAATTTTGTTAAAGGTGGGCTTCAGGTATTTGCATTTACTTAAAGGGGAACTTCAAGTGTTTCGATTTGTTTAACTAGGCAATGCGGGAATTCTATTTCGTTTAAATGGGAAATTCGGGTATTTATATTTTGTTTAAAGGAGGGTTGCGGCGGGAATTGTATTATGCTTAAAGGGGTACTGCGGGTATTTTTATTTGGTTTAAAGGGTACTATGGATATTTTAATTGCAGTTACTTTAATGTATTTAAGTGAAAAAAGCAGATGTTGTGAAATCGTCAAATTGGAATGGTTATATTAATTCCACGTTAAGATACATACCCTTTTGGAAGTCCCATCATAAAGAACCCTTTTGATCTGAGATAATACAGCAAGAGTATCACTAATAAAATAATTATAATACTGCCAACAACTCCACCAACTATAGCACCCGTATTATCTCCGCTTCCAGTTAATCCGCTAGGTGTCGAATTCTCACTCAAACAATGATGACGTAAGTTATCGATGTCGTCATCAGTTAGTTCCTTAAAAACTGGAAAATTAAAAGGTAAATAGATTTGAGCCTCTTCAGTAAGCATCTCTAGATAAGAAATTAATGAACTTAGGCTGTTTGTCTACAATTAGCTCTACCTGGGAACAGGCACTAAGTTAGTTGACCGACATTTTATGTTTAACATCGACGATTTTAGTCGAAAACACCAAGTATACTCCTGCTTCCATTTAATGGAATTGAATAGATTTATTTATTCTTTGTGTGTATGACAGATATGAAACGGAGAAAACCCGCATTACAAATCAATATACCAATTTTTGGATTATGGCGGCTATTCAAGACAGAGATCTATTCTCGAAGTATGTAGTAGATGGAGCTCTGTGTGCAGAATGCATGTACACGGGGGCTTTGATTTTTTTCTTCGCAACATCCGAATGACGAGACGCCTTTCCATGCCAGACCTACCATCCTCCATCACTGACAAGGGAAACAACCCACTTGAAAATCACGCGGAACTTTCTTGGCCAACACCAGAATCGATGCCAGGATCACCTGGACAGCCAGTTAGTTTCTTATCAACTGGGTCAAGTGTTTTCCATGTCCTGGTGACCAGGAAGCGAGGAGGTATTGTCCGGAACAGCAGCCTGTCATTAAAGTCATACAATTGTGTACGCAGGGGTTAATTTTAATCATTCCACTTCATAAGCCGTGCGAACCCGCCAATCACAAAAAACGGAAAACCCGAAATAGTTCCGAAGAATGTATCGAGAGAAGACGACATTATGCTGAAACAAATCTAATGAAATGAAATGGGGTTTAACGTCCTACTCTTCTGCGCCGACTGGGCTAATGTAGACGGGCATATGCCATATAGTGTGCTATGGGGTAAATTTTGCCCGGGCAGCTGTACTATGGCCTACTCTTATATCGAATTCCAGCTGCCAAGGGATCTTTTACGTGCGCGCCAATGGCCTCGGTTTATCGTCCCATCTGAACGACTGGGTAGCTGTCCTTGTCAGGCCCCCCGCCCTGCACCACGTCGTAAAATCCCGATGAATGCTGAAAAAAGACGATCTTTATATCCTTATATGTCTGCTGTACCTTCCCGCCATGATACTTACTTCTAGAACACCGTTGCCATGGTTTATCAAGGGAACATATGTTTGCTTGATGGATTAAATTTTTATCATTACAGTTAATGATGGTGTCATCCCATGCTGTACCAGGTCCACAATGACGTAATAATGGCGGACGGTAGCTCTGATGACATTGGTAATATGACGTACAGTCACATGGGTTAATATAATATGTGCCTAGAGCACAGGGTAAATCAAAGGGAATACAGCTATCTGAAATAAATAAATAAATAAATAAATAAATTAAAGTAGATGAGTCTCTAACTCAATCTCATCCAAAGTCTTCGACATTGAAAACACGAATTATTTGCCAATTTAAATCAACGTTGATGTTATGATCTTATCGAGACAAGGCGAGCTTCTGATATCCAATACTTAAGACAAAATAAACATTTTACCATTGGTACACGAATCGTGTACCATAATGCGTCTCAGTGCCATTTGTAACAAGGGACTCGAAGAACGAGGCTAGACATATTCCACAAGTCATGTCAATCTGGAGAGCATGCACATGTGTAGGCTGGAATAACCAGATGCTAGAGATTGCCATTCGATTGAGACTTCTGGCATGTTTTTCTCAACATACCTGATATGAAATAAGAGTAAAAACGGAAACGATTGAATGTAAATCAGTTCAAATACATCCATATTACATTATTATATACGTTACGACCCATTTGTGTCCATTTCTTGCTCCCAAATATTAGCGATTTTACTCCTTTAAATGATATGAAATGGGGTTTAACGTCTTACTGTTTTGTCCCGACTGGGCATAAAGCCGGATAAATAAATAAACATTCATGATGATTACCGCTAGTCCTTGTTTCATAACTGTAGATCAGGTGGTTGGGCGTCCTAATCGGTTCTCCGAGCAAATCGGGGTGTTGGATGGCCGAATGGTTAGTGCGTGCGCGCTGTACCATAAGGCCTGTCATTTAGTCAACTGGCGTGGTTTCGATTCCCCGGCCGGTTGTACTTGACAAGGAGTCTGTTCAACCTCGTGGGTTTTCTCCGGTCCTCCGGTTTCCTCCCACTGCTAAAGACCCCTACGCGCAAGCGAATTATTGAAATACAATCCAACCATATGTGAGTCCCGAAATGACCTAGTTTGTATTGAGTGGACTTTAAACCCCATTGGGTAAGACACTGGCTCGCTAGCCTGGAGGTCGGGTGTTCGATCCCTGCATTGGCCGAGAAAGTTCATCCAGATTTTTCGGCGTGTTTTCCCCTTGTCAGTGATGCAGGACGGAGGGCCTGACAAGGACAGCTGTCTAGTCCTTCGGATGAGACGAAAAACCGAGGTCCCGTGTATATAGTGGAATGCACATAAAAGATCCCCTGGCAGTTGGAATTCGATATAAGAGTACGCGATAGTGCCGCTGCCCGGGCAAAATTTCCCTCATAGCACACTGTATGACGTATGCCCGTCTTCATTAGTCCAGTATAGGAGCAGAACAGTAGGACGTCAAACCCCATTTCTATCTATCTATCTAAAGCCATGCAAATCAGACCAAAATCACACAAGGCGTTTGACTGACCGCGGCGAGTGTATAGCTACTGTGTGTATGTAGTCGTTGTGAATAAAATGTGTGCGTAGGAGTTCTTCTATACGGAACATCCATTAACACTTGTCATTTACCTGAGACGTCAACAAGAATTATTAAATAAGAAATAGTTCGAATCTTACTTGTAAATACGCCATCTATGTCGTCATATCGTAACATCACCGTATCTTCTGTTCATCTGATGAAAAGAGATGGAAGTTATTGTTATTTTCTATATAAAACTTTAGAATAACATGCGTATTTAAATAACACCTTAGAATAACATGGGTATATAAATAACACCCCAGAATAACACGGGTATATAAATAACACTCCACAATGCCACGAGTATTTAAAAGACACCCCAGAATAACACGGGTATTTAATAAAATAACACCCCAGAATAACATGGGTATTTAAATAACACTCGAGAATAACAAGAGTATTTAAAAAAACACTCCTCCAGAATAACACGGATATTTAAATAACACCCCAGAATGACATGGGCATATAAATAACATCCCAGAATAACATTGGTATTAAAATAACACTCCACAATACCACGAGTATTTAAAAAACACCCCAGAATAACACAGGTATTTAAATAACACTCCAGAATGACATGGGCATATAAATAACATCCCAGAATAAAACAGGTATATAAATAACACCCCAGAATAACATGGGTATTAAAATAACACTCCACAATACCACGAGTATTTAAAAAACACCCCAGAATAACACAGGTATTTATATAACACCCCAGAATGACACGGGTATATAAATAACACCCCAGAATAACACCCCAGAATGACACGGGTATATAAATAACACCCCAGAATAAAACGGGTATTTAAATAACACCCCAGAATAACACAGGTATATAAATGACACCCCAGAATAACATGGGTATACATGTATATAGATATATCAAATAAATGAGAAAGGTTTGGGAATGTACGTGTCGTGGATATATCACTTTAAGCAAGATCCCCCGCCACCACCACCCACCCTCATCCCCTCAAATAGTAATTTCACGCAATTACCCAGAAGATAAGATATCAAAGGGAGATTTGAGTTTAACCTCCCACTTTTTGGCACCAATAACTAAATAATATTGTTCTATTAGTGAATGACAGGGACATCTGTCTAGTCGTTCGGATGGGACGAAAAACCGAGGTCCCGTGTATACATTGGCATGCACGTTAAAGATTCCTTAGCAGTTGGAATTCGATATAAGCGTAGGCCACAGCGCCGTTGCCTCATAGCACACTGTCTGGCGTATGCCTCTCTTCATTAACCCTGTCGGAGAACAATAGGGCCCTAAACCCCATTTAATTTTATTGCTACTAGTGAAACTATTTCCTGACTGCATTGTTACGGTCTACATACCCTTATATGAACTATGCTGGCAGGGCTTAATGTTGTTGTTTTTTTTTTTATCAAAACAACATGGTCTGCTAACTGACTTCATTTCAAGCTTGCTCATTTTAAACCAATTTATTTTAGTTTTAACCTATATCAAATAAACCGCTCTAGTTATATACCTATGTATAAAAGCTAGCGTATAGATTTACAATTAATAGGCCTAGATATCGTTATTTGTTTAAGTCTAGTTTTACATCAATCCATCAAATAGCTTATCAGTTTGAAGATAGGCGTATACCATTTAAACATCCAGTATTTAAGATTTAAATAAAGAGAAGATGGCCGTTCTTGTTATAGTATTATAGTTTAAAAAACAACTGAAAAATGAACATACATTGTATTGAAAATTTCAAGTCAAATTACCTTTTTCTGAGCAAAGTTATGAATATTTGAAGTTTTGACGATATAGTCTCGATTGTGAAATACCATTATCTATCTATACTAATATTTGTGACTGTCGTTTGTCTGTCTGTCTGTCTGTTCGGGGTTGGCGGCTACACTAGGTCTGCCCCGAGTCTGAAATTTGGGGTATAGGGGTAGCTCGGACCGGGGAGTAACATAAACCAGGTGGCGTTAGTCTACCACGTCCGGTTTCGGAGTTATGACCCCCGAGCGAAGCCGGTCTGTTCGGGGTTGGCGGCTACACTAGGTCTGACCCGAGTCTGAAATTTGGGGTATAGGGGTAGCTCGGACCGGGGAGTAACATAGGCCAGGTGGCGCTAGTCTACCACTTCCGGTTTCGGAGTTATGACCCCCGAGTGAAGCCTGGTATCCTGCTAGTTAAGATAATAAAACAAAGTATCGGATATCCATTTAAACGTTAAATTATTAAATTGTTAAGTTGTTGCTTAAACATGGTCGAAGTGGCATTTCAAGTGAGGCGATGGCTCGCTAACTGAGTGATTCCGAGTCTAATCTGAGTGCTATGCAATTACACAGCTCGCACATCTTACCCAGAACTACCACTCGTTCGGATAGAAAGAAAAACCGAGGTCCCGTATACATATTGGCGTGCAAGTTCAAGATCCCTTGGCCTGTCGGAATGCGATATCAGAGTAGGTCATAGCACCTCTGTCCGGGCATAATTTACCTCATAGCACACTGTATGTCGTAGACCCGTCTTTATTAGAGCAGTCAGAGCATAACAGTAGGATCTTAAACTCCATTTCATTTCATTGAAACTCATTTTTATATAATGCTGATTTATTGTGCATTTTGAGTAACAAAATTTCGACCATTGCCACAGTTGGCTAGACTCTCTCAATAAAGATCATAACCTTGTAAATGAGATAGCATTCTTTTCACTATCTGGGCTAAAATCTGTTCACGGATCTGTACTAGCTTTATAATGCCCAAGTAATAAGATGACCGAATAGAAATGAAATGAAATGAAATGGGGTTTAACGTCCTACTGTTTTGCTCCGAAGACTGAACTTGGATCCAATTTACCCTTTACCCCTCTTAAAAGGGTTATGGTTAGGGTTAGTTGTCTCAAAATACACATTTATATAAAGCGGCCGTTGTGGACTCATCTTTGGTCCAATCTACCGTCGGATATTCCCAAACCTCCCCAACCGGCCTTCACTAAGCATCCCGTCTTCATTAGCCCAGGTTAGGGGCCGAACAGTAACGTAGGACGTTAAACCCCATTTCATTTTATTTCATTTCATTTAGGTTTAACGTCCTACTGTTCTGCTCCTAACCTGGGCTAATGAAGACGGGCATACGCCATACAGTGTGCTATGAGGGAAATTTTGCCCGGACAGCGGCACTACGGCCTACTCTTATATCGAATTCCAACTGCCAAGGGATCTTTTACGTGCACGCCAATGTGTACACGGGACCTCGGTTTTTCGTCTCATCCGAATGACTAGACAGCTGTCCTTGTCAGGCCCTCCGTCCTGCATCACTGACAAGGGGAAACCACGCCGGAAAATCTGGATGAACTTTCTCGGCCAATGCAGGGATCGAACACCCGACCTCCAGGCTAGCGAGCCAGCGCCTTACCCACTTAGGTACCGTGATCCCCCATGACCGAATAGTTAAAGATACAATATGTAAGATTTATATAAAGAGCTGGCCAATCTTACTATACTAGTTCTAAAATAGATAATGTAAAATGAATATTTGAAAATTTCATTCAAATTACTCTATTGCAAGCGAAGATATTAGCTTTTGAGAGTTTGACACGACGTGTGAAATAATTTCAGCCACCGCACTGGTTGTTCGAAGCTAAGTCTCGCTCCTCCATGTTTAGATTAAATCAAAATATGGCTGAACGGTTCTAATCTATTTAATATCGGAGAAATCCAATGCCATCGAGAGCTGATTGTGGTCTGGATCAGTTAATTAATGTCTAATTAATAATTCAGAAAACATTTAAGGCCTAACGAAATACCTGTAATAGGCAGATTTAGTTCTTGCATAATGTATGTTGCATATTATAGTGAGAACTACCAGCTCTTTATGTAATCTCCCATAAGTATGTTTAAATAATCTTAATTTAGTTTGTACAAGAGAGAGAGAAATGGGGTTTAACGTCCACTCGACACAAACTAGGTCATTTCGGGATTAACATATGGTTTAATTTTATTTCAATAATTCGCTTGCGCGTAGGGGTCTTTAGCAATGGGAGGAAACCGGAGGACCCGGAGAAAACCCACGAGGTTGGACAGGCGACCCTACTCCTTGTCACGTACAACCGGGGATTCGAAACCACGCCAGTCGACTCAATGACAGACTTTATGATACAGCGCGCGCACTGGGCTAACGAAGTCTGCTATGTGGGACATTTTGCCCGGATAGCGGCACTATGACTTACTTTTCTCATCGAATTCTAAATGCCAATGGATCTGGAACGTGCACGCCCACGTGTACAAGAGGGCATTGGTTTTTCGTCCAATTCAATCGACTAAACACTGTCCTTGCCAGGAGCTTTGTCCCACACCACTGGCAAGGGGGAACCATGTCGGAAAAATCCCAATGGGATGTCTCGACCAAGACCGGGATCGAACATGGGACCTCCAGGACAGCGAGTCAACATCTCTCACACTGAGTCACCGTTGCTGCCCCACATTTCATATGGTAACCGGACATGAGAAATCAACAGTTGAACTATAATTTGCAAATATTTTACCTCCGGGATGGTAGTTTTACAAGTCATTTCCATCACAACTTAAAAAGAATTCTAAACTCGATATATGTCTACCAGGTTGTTAGTGTTATGTAATGTCATTTCCATCAGAAATAAAGTTATTTATGAGTATTAATGTAATCATCAACGATGGTGGCATTTCTCAAACATCTATCACAATCAAATGAAAGAAAAATTCACGTGTAGACGGGCATTTCATTTGTTTGTCCCGTCTTCATTAGCCCGGCCGGAGCAGAAAAGTAGGACGTAAAAACCCATTTCGTTTTATTTCATTTTTTTGTGTGGCTCGTAGATGTTAAAAGAACACTGCTGGACAAAACAAAGAAAACAAAGACAGAACAAATCAGGAAGAAATGCAGCTTATCCTCCCCCACCCCAGAGAGAGAGAGAGAGAGAGAGAGAGAGAGACTCTTACTCGCATGCGAATTATTGAAATTAAATTGAAACCATACGTTAGTCCCGAAATGACTTAGTTTGTGCCGAGTGGACGTTAAACCCCATTTCTCTCTCTCCCTCTCTCGCTAATCCGGGGATCCTGGCAAGGAACAATGTCTAGTCATTGGGATGGGACGAAACATTGAATCCCTATCAGTTGGAATTAAAAATAGGAGAAGGCCATAATGCCTTTGTCCTGGTAAAATTGTCCTGTATACCGTATGCTTGTCTTCATTAGTCCGGTTGGTGCAGAAAAGTAGGATGCGCAACTTAATTCAATTTCAGACATACATATAACCTATCTTTAATACAATTTTAACAACAGAAATCCGAAAGTTCACTTTATTGTATAGTCTTTTATTACAATAAACAGTACATTACATAATGATTTGATTTTGGATATTATGAATTAAAAAGGTGTTTAACGTCCCACTATTCTGTACCGACTGGGATAACGACGACGGGCATACTCCATAAAGTTTGGTGTGAGCGAAATTGTGCCCGAATTACCCCTTTCAAGGGATCTTTTACGTTCACGCCAATATGTACACGGGACCACGGTTATTCGTCCCGATTCTGGATTATATAAACTTTTAAATAGTCAACCATTTTGTAGTCAGGTTATCAGCCTAGTAGTTTATAACCAATATTTCAGACTACCGTTTGTGACACCGCTAGAAAAGTATTCAAGCTATTTCTCGTATCAAGAAAAAGGAAAAAAGGAAAACATAATTTCTAAAGTGTGAATTGATGAATTGAAATATACTTACACAAATATTTTCTTATAAACTATTTCCAAAATAGAAACTAATCCACTTAAGTTGGTCTGTTACCATCCATGACTGTATATGATATCACGTGACCGGTGTGTATGTATATATAAGTATGTATAGATATAAATATAAGTATAAAACGTCACTAGTCAACATCATAAATAACCTAGGGGTCACATGCCCACCCTCGCATTAAATATACACCTAACCTACTCCTCGATTCGTTAAATCAGGACAGTCGCGTTCCGAAATGAGAGAGAGAGAGAGAGAGAAATGGGGTTTAACGTCCTACTGTTCTGTTCCTATACTGGGCAAATGAAGACGGGCATACGCCATGCAGAGTGCTATGAGGGAAATATTGCCCGGGCAGTGGCGCTATTGCCTACTCTTCTATCTAATTCCAACTGCCAAGGGATCTTTTACATGCACGCCAATGTATACACGGGACATCGGGTTTTCGTTTCATCCGAACGACTAGACAGCTGTCCTGGCTAGTGAACAAGCGTCTTACCCACTTAGCCACCGTAGCTCGGTCGCGTTCCCAGGTTTAACGATGCTCGGGGTCATCCGCTTTATTGCATTCCCACAAGATTCTAGTATAGGGCCTAGTACTCAGGGAATGGGGTTTAACGTCCACTCGACACAAACTAGGTCATTTCGGAACTAACATATGGTTTAATTTTATTTCAGTTATTCCCTGGCGTGTAGGGGTCTTTAGCAGAACTCGGAGAAACACGGAGAAACCGCCACTTGACTCAGTGACTGAGTTTATGATTTCAGTCGCACGTGTTAAATTAAAACACAAGACCACCCACACCACCTGAGGCACCCATAAAACGTCGAACAAAATCAATGTTATACAGAGGTCGTTCTACCAAACATAAATGAAATGGAGTTTTACGTCCTTCTTTGGACAAACCTTGGTAAAAATGACGAGTATACGCCATGCAGTAACGGGAAATTCGGCCTAGGCAGCGGTGTTGCCGTCTGATATTCGACGAATGTCAAATGCCGAGTGCTTTTTGCCGTGCACAATAACGTGTAAACGGGAACTCTGTTTTTTGTCTCACCCAAAAACGTTGTTAGGTCATAGGTCATCCGTCCTTCAGACTGACGAGCAGTGAAGGAGAATAAGGCCAGGCCCGTAGCTAGCGCGGGGGGGGTGGGGGGGGGGGGTGGGGGGTAATGGGGGCAGCTGCCTCTCGTTGGACACAGTACGAAGCCAACAACCAACATGCACCATAAAGCCTAGCCCCCCCCCCTCGCGCTATCTACGGGCCTGCATGCTATATTTACAAAGCTATGCCGAGCCATTTATACTGAAAATAATCAAAGCAAGCTGGTGCCATCTAAAGTCCTAACGACTTGTCAATCCGTCCGAATCCAAGCTTGAGGATTATCTAGATATTGTCCGACCAATAAAATTGACGATAAACATCTTTAAGGAATGTAGGAATATCACCCGTTCTTATCAATGGGCAGGATTTATGAGCTAAAATGTTATAACTATATGTAAATTATAATGACGTAAATAGTTATAAACAATATTTACATGAATGACTGTACCATGACGTAACGAAGTTATGATGACGTAAAACAATATTTATTCATATATTTCTATGTTTTATATTATTCTCTTATCGCATTGTGGGAGACATACTTAAACTGTTAAGATGGCGCAATATGTACTTGAATAGAGAAACGGTGACTCAGAGAGTAAGGCGCCGAGGATATCCTATACGATGACGATGGCGCAATATGTACCTGAGAAGAGCAGCGGTGACTCGGTGAGTAAGACGTTGGCTAGCTAACCTGTCGGTCCCTTGGTATCCCGGGGTTAAATCTATTTGTTAAGGTTAGGACGAAAAATTGAGCTGGCCTTATCATTTAGCACTAGCCGGTATCCCGGTGTTAACCGAGAAAGAAAGTTTATCGGGATTTCCCGGCGGAGTTACCCCTTTCATGGCGTATACCCGTCTTCATTACTCAAGTAGATCGAGAACAGCGGACGTTTAACCCCATTTCATTTACTTGAGAGGCAGCATATAATGATGAATATGTGAAATGAAATGAAATGGGGTTAAACGTCCTACTGTTCTGCTTCGAACTGGTCTAATAAAGACGGGCATACGCCATATAGTGTGCTATGAGGGAAATTTTGCCCGGGCAGCAGCACTATCGCCTACTCTTATATCGAATGCCAACTGTCTAGGGATCTTTTACGTGCACGCGATATGTACACGGTACCTCGGTTTTTCGTCCCATCCGAACGACTAGACAGCTGTCCTTGACAGGCCCTCCGTCCTGCATCACTAATGATGAATACAGTGGCGCAATAATTTCCTGGATCATGATGATTAAAATAGTAAATGACTAACTTATGACTATAGATATGGAAAGTAATAGATCACTCTGGGACGAATTTCAGGCGATATCCCGAAAAGAACATGACATTGCAATAAAAGAAAATAAAACCAAGTACGAACAATCCAAAATGAAATGAAATGAAACGGGGTTTAACGTCCTACTGTTCTGCTCCTATACTGGGCTAATGAAGACGGGCATACGCCATACAGTGTGCTATGAGGGAAATTTTGACCGGGCAGCGGCACTATCGCCTACTCTTATATCGAATTCCAACTGCCAAGGGATCTTTTACGTGCATTCCAATGTATACACGGGGCCTCGATTTTTCGTCTCATCCGAAGGACTAGACAGCTGTCCTTGTCAGGCGAACAATCCAAAACAACGGTATAGACAAAGTATTGTAATCAGCAAATGGACTGTTCACCGTGTACAAAATACACGACAAACAGTCCAACCTGGTGAGCTTTCTCCGGGTCCTCCGGTTTCCTCCAAGACCCCTTCGCACAATTGAACCATGTGTTTGTCCCGAAATGACCTAGTTTGTGTCGAGTGGATGTTAAACCCCATCCACGAAGGCACTGGTTTATGTGTATTATCTTCGTGGTGTTTGTCTTTCTTCAGTGTCAAAGGTGGGGGAAAAAGTCCACGAACCGCCCGGATGGCACACCCACACACACCCACACACACTCTCTCTCTCTCTCTCTCTCTCTCTCTCGTTGTATTCATCTTAATCCTAACTCTATACCTTGGTCATGTTGTAAGACACTGGCTCGTTAGCCTAGAGGTCACGTGTTCGATCCACTCGACACAAACTAGGTCATTTTGGGACTAACATATGGTTTAATTTTATTTCAATAATTCGCTTGCGCATAGGGGTCTTTAGCAGTGGGAGGAAACCGGAGGACCCGGAGAAAACCAACGAGGTTGGACAGGCGACCCTACTCCTTGTCACGTACAACCGGGGATTCGAAACCACGCCAGTCGACTCAATGGCAGACTTCATGATACAGCGCGCGCACGCTAACCATTCAGCCATCCAACCCCCCTGACAAGGACAGCTGTCTAGGGTTGATTTCGTCGACTTGTCGACTTGTCGCCTTCGACTTATTCACAACCGACAAGTCGACGAAATACAATTATTTCGACTTGTCGTGTGGCGACTTGTCGCCTCGGAAGTTAATCTGTGCGCGTGCAAGTTATCCAATCAGCAAATGCGCATGCTCGAGTTTGACAAGTCGCCGCACGACAAGTCGACGAAATCAACCCGCCGACACGACAAAATAACCCGACGATTGTCGCCTTCATTTTGTCGTGTCGGCGGGTTGATTTCGTCGACTTGTCGACTTGTCGCCTTCTTCACAAGGCGACGATTTAGATTCATTTGAATGGCCGCTAACAGCCACCATAAATACCGGTCATATGTCACTATTAGATAAATTCGGGTATTTATGATATTGGGACAGATTCGTGTTTTATAAGTTTTCAAATGATCTATAATCTACCATATTAATAAGAATAAATATATAGATAGATAATTTGTTAGATTCTCTTAAAGGGACTATTCCGATTTGAACAGTCTCAAAATTAAATCCGAGTACGTATGAAATTTAGGTGCCCAAATATAGCGGAAAGGTGTATTTACCTTGTTTCAAAATTTCAGCTCGAAATATTGAGTCGTTTAGACATAAACGTCAAAACTGCTTATCCGGACACGTAACCCTTTTAAGATTTTCGTTGCCGTTCCTTTAGAGGCATATACAGTGAATGGCCCATGTACTGTACTTGACAACGAAAGGTAAATTTCACCTACACATTATGTTTATAAAATACAGTTTTGGACATAGGTCTCCATTTCCAGATGAAGTCTGCTGGGTTAAATTTGTTTGAAAACGTTTTAAAAATATAGTTAGTTGCTTGGCCCTTAGGTAGAGGATTTTAAGAGATTTTAACACAAAATTTAGCATTTTTATTCTCCAATATATTATCGGGATTGGCCCTTTAACTTATATTTATCTCAAAGAATAGTTGCATTGAAATGGATATATAAACCTGTACACCGAAATTATCAAATTATTCTGGATGTTTTGTTTTTCGGATTACCTGCGACCTCTAACCAACAGGTGTAACTCAAAATTCGTGATTAAAACACCTCATTTAATATATTCATCAACATGTTATATATAATATATTTTACACATTATAAAATTAATCTCTCTGTAACATATCGTATTGTATAGTGTACCACCTAACTGTAAATAGCTCACACATCATACAGTATACCAGCCACTAGATCCGTCCTATTAAACAACATTTATCACTTCAAACACGTAATATATGTAAATATACCGTGTTAAAATTAACCCTAGAATCATCTAATTATCAAAAATTCCCCACTCTCCCGTCCTCCACAATCTGTTTAACAGAGGTAATGCAAAGGCCTTCTTTTAATTCTGTACAAAATGATTGACCTTTACGTTCACGGACATTATAGGTCTACGTCTGACGTAGCATCATACAGCGCCGATAATACGTGTTTTGTTTACATCGGGCGCAGTAACACAAACTGATCCTGGCAGAATTAGTGACTTTTTACTCATTTTACGCCTTCACGTACTATTTTATTTACCCATTTATTCTAAATAGGAAATATTTTTTATTCAGATAAATTTCAAACACGTTCAGTTTTTCTTTCGTAATGAATTCAAAAATTGTTTT